TCATTTGATATTTGAAGTAATATGGTTATTTGCCGCTGATTGTTTTTGATTACATTCAGTCTGGGAGCTCCTGAATAGTTGAAAAAGGACTTTTATTTATTATTCAAGGGAAACAAACAGTCATAAAACAAATGATACAAAAACATCCATTAAAACAAATAGACCTGGACTTCCACAATCATAAACAAAAATTTAGCAAGTAAGTTACGGTTCAACTACATTCAAATACAACATAATAAACTAGATAATAAAGTAACATCCCAAAAATTAGGTACAGTTCACTGTTACATGCAAATTAGATTAAAAAATTAAAAAATTACTTATTTTACTTTCTTCTTAAAACTATGTAAGGATAACCAACCCAAAGATATCTATATTATATAAGTGTTTATTATAGAAATCCAAAGAGCGCTTAAAGAAACCATTTTTGGAGTAGATTGTTCTACTAAATTTACATGAGAAGGTAGCTTTAGAACGCAAGGAGGTGCAAGCCGGAACTCTTAAGTTAATTTTTTGTAATAATTCTGGCGAGTCGATGTACTTTTTTAAAAGTTTATATAAAACACATGAATCAATATAATTTCTTCTATTGCGTAGAGTTGGAACCTTGAAAGCATTACAAAAGGATTTATAGTCTATATATTTAATTCTAGTGCGAAAAAAGAGAATTTTTTATAAATTTTTTTGCACTTTATCCAATGCATCAATGTGCATTCTGGCACTCTGTAACTACGATTCCAAATTACGCTTCCGAATTCCAATTTGCTCCTAACAAAAGATGAGTACAAAGTTTTAAAAGTAATGGCTTTACGGAAAGGCTGCGAAATACGTAGAATGAAACCGAGTAATTTAAATGATTTAGAAATAAGGTTGTCGATATGAAAATTGAAGTGCAACTTAGAGTCGAAGATAATACCTAGGTCCATTATTTGATTAAGCCGTTTGATAATGGTGCCATTTAAAATATAATTAAAAACTATGGAGTTATTTTTACGAGTGAAGGAAATCAAATGGCATTTGACAGGATTGAGAAGTAGCTGATTGTTAACACAGTATGTAGAGAATTGGTCGAGATCACTTTGTAAATCTAAACAGTCACTGTCTTTAGTCATAATTTTAAAGATTTTAGTATCATCGTCATAGAATAAGTGTTGTGAATTTACAAAGACGCTGTAAAAATCATTAATGTAAAGGGTGAAAAGAAGCGGACCGAGATGAGACCCTTGAGGCACACCGGAAGTTACATCCAGAAATTCAGAAATACGGCCTTATACGCAGAAACATTACTTTCAGGCAGCTTGTTTGTGTTTGGGTAAAGAGTTTTAATTTTCGTCCATAATTTCATACATACATATCATCACGCCTGTCTGCCACTGGGGCAGGCAGATATCATGGAACCCCACATACAACTCTCTGACTGACTGAATCGCTAATTTCAAGGAACGATAATCCGGTCAAGCATGCATCCAATATGACTACTAAAATAATTTACTCAATTGGTGGTTAATCAAATAATATAAAAGGGTTTTCCTGGAGTCATATTCGCCAAAACCATAACTAAAATCCCTTTTTACCGCTGACAACAAAATGAGTTTACAAAACACTGTGTAAACCTTCCTCTAAGGTTCACCTAACAAAATTACTAGATTATAACGTGTGATAGTTGCGATTAATTAAACATATTAGAGCTATAAATGCGAGCGTCCCTTGCCACAGTTGTTCCTATTAAGGATTTTATGCATGGAGTTGACCAATTAGTCGTCGGATAGCATGTTCGGGTGGCAGCTATCGGTAACATGGACGCGTGCGGTTGGCCGTAATAGCGCGTTGCCGGCTGGTAATGTGTTTTTGGCGTGCCGCGCCCCTGGCGCCCTATCTACCCACCGATATTTAAGACCAGTATTGTACCTTTTAAAACTTCGGCCATAACCCGAGATTGGGAATTGCGTGCACCCATTTCTATATTACGACGACGAATAATTAGCTTTCGCTGATACAATTTTTACGAACACGGTAATTTACTTGTAGCATGAAAGGCAATGTTTGTATTTTTCGTAGATGAAAACGTATGTACCTAAGTATATACATATGTTATATAACTATGTTTATAACTTATGTTTTAAATAATTCTAATACACGTTCTTGTTGTAGGAAACATTTTGAGTACTCGTATCTGCTATAGAAAATACAGCGGCAAAATACTAATGGAATAATTATTCTAACAAGAAAATTAAATTTTCTACGTATAATTAAAGCGTTGAGATGATAAAGCTTCAGTAAGAATACTACCTTACCTGCACATTTCAGAAAAGTGATTAACTATTTATTTGACACGTGTAACACGATAGGTGTCCTGTAAGACAAAGTTCTCGACCAATTTAACTCAGAAACTGTCACTGTGTACCTTATCCTACTGGTTGAAATCGATGGAGTGTAAGAAAAAAGTGTCGTTCTATTACCTCACAAAATATCACACCATGTAATTTTATATGGGCTCCGGCGATGTCATTGGTAAAGGACTTTTGAGAAACATTATATCTTAAAGCCAGTTTAGCTGTCTTTTACCTCCATCAAAGTAGAGTGGCGGCATGATCACTCTTATAATAAAAGTGAAGATATTGTTACACGGCTTCGTGAACTTTGCTTAGATTTGTCACATGTGAATATGTTACTAGTTTTATTTTATATACGGCATTTACTGCTTACGGACCATAGGAGAAAATGCAATTAGTTATCTACATACGATTGGAATTACGGGCCAATTGACATATGCTTTTATTGGAGTACCAAAATACTCAATTTTGTGAATGGATTGCATCGGTTTAGTTGAAACACATCGATGCCGAAGCAAAAACGGCTTATGAGCCGTAATCTGCAAATCCATTAAAGAGCAGTTACATTAATGTTAGCTACATGCTGTGTTCGAATTGTTTGCTCTGTTCTATATGTCCTTATATTGATAACTAAATATTGGAATTTGATAGAGGTTCTCAATTCTTGATCTGATCGAAAAATTGAAGGTTTGACCAAGAATAAAGAAACCAGTCGACTTAGCGTTAGTAGTAAATTGACGCAATTCAAGAGTAAATAAACTTCTCCTTTGTCTACCACCTATACCAATACTATAGAATTAGTGCGCGCGATGGTCACGTTCGCATCGGTGGAGTTATCTCATGTGACCTTACTTTTGAGAGTAAATTGACAGCTCGGGGAAGATATATCTTTTTTCTTAAGTTACTTCGTGTATTTATTAAGTAACGTCATATATTCTACAGTATAACTACACAATAAGCCTTAACAATGTTTCAGAAGTTTGATTAGGAAGTTTTAATGGCATTACGCTGTGGTTTGGGAACTAAAACAATTTTACATTTTAAAAGCTAATAAAACCAACACACGCTTCTATCTGGTCTGGTTCATTCTTTCACCTTTATTATTATTGAGTTTGAATTCGCACCCGCCCCATGCCGCCCGTTTATCCACGCTTTATTAATTACGAAACGAGCAATATAAGCACAGGAAACACCAACCCCTCCACCCTTTGATTTGTAAAATTATATAATTCACATTAAATTAATGTAATCGTGAATTAAAATGTAAAAGCACTTTAAAAGACTGACTGAAACGTAGTAAAACCATCTTCTATAATAACATACCCTCTGTAGCTGCGACAAATATTTTGGTATTTATCTCATTTTTATGAGTTTAAGTAGGAAGCATGAGGTGGTGCTCGAGATAGGGATTTAATTGAAGTCGAGGTGGTGCAAGGGTGAAGAGGGGTGGGAAGTCGCAACCGCCTGCAGGGGCGAGAGGCACATCGCGGGGAAGCAAAATAATAAAAAAATGAACCCGCACTGGGCTATCCCCCGCGAGCGCGGATGCTGTGAAAGTGGCACGCTGTGGATAAATGAAGGTTTTTTGTTTGTTGAATACGCCTAAGCTTGGCGTCGCTCCACTTTTGTATTGTCACTTGAATTCTATGGATGCTAGTGCTTTAACAGAGCTCACTCCATCGAGTACGTTATTAAATTTACGCCCTCTTTAAGTGTCTTTTATGCACAAAACTCACGTACAAAAGTGATTCTGAAAAGAGTACATTACAAAGCAAATACACAAATATTTTTTATAATAAGTACTACAATTTTCTTGACACTATCTACAACATATTTTCTCTCGATCATTTTCCACTTTATTTTTCTCTCAGTTTACTTAAAAAACAAAACAATAAGTTAATGGGGAGATATTTAAAAAATACTGAATACCTAGAAACTATAGTATAGTATATCTTGGTAATTATAACATTTGTAGAAAAAATATACCCAAGTTGTTTTGTAAAAGATTCAAACAACGATACCGTTTCTCAAATACAGAATCGATTATGAGAGGGGAGCGATAAGAGATGCTCGTCCCTCGCTACTGTGATTCAAGTGACAGTTTTATTAATTTCTGTACAACGTTTACCCACCCACCTTTAATGCTGTTCTGGTGGAGAAATAAGGCGAAAGATTTTACAAAAGTAATGTGTAATTGAAATAATTTCAATTTTTTCAACCCTATTAAGTAACTATTCAAAGTAATCGAAACCCAGAAGAAACAAATTGGAAAACCATAATAACCTCCTTTGTACGCAAGGATGTATCGTATTAAAGATAGACACTTTCAAATAACGGCTCTTGGTCCACAAGCAAATGCGTAGCTATGTCTGAGATAAGCTGCAGCTTAACGCTAGCGCGCAGTCGATGGCTTATCTCGATTTCAATTATTAAGCTGGCGCTTTCATTGGCTCAGTGAGGCTATCACTGGGGCGACCGAGAGGGCGCACGCAAGGGATTGGGGCGGTCTCGATGCCCGTTATCTCAAATTTCGCAAATCACACTGCAGCATTCGCGCTTAAAATTGTATCTTTATAATTTTAAGTGACCAATTTGCAATTTGCAAAAGTGCTAATTTAGACCATATTTTTATTGCTTTCTCTAATTGAATATTACGTTTGTTATTAGATATGGAATGGATCTCAATGGGGCGAGAAGAAAAAATGCAACTCGGGAAACCACAAGTACTCTCAAGGCGTGGCTGAATGAACACAAGAAAAATCCATATCCAACTAAGGGTGAAAAGATTATGCTTGCGATTATCACCAAGATGACGCTGACGCAAGTGTCAACGTGGTTCGCGAACGCTCGCCGCCGTCTCAAGAAAGAAAATAAGATGACTTGGGAACCTAGAAACAGGGTCGACGACGATGACAATAACAATGATGACGACGACCACAAAAGCAACGACGGCAAAGACGCTCTTGGTAAGTTTTTCCCTTATTAATTTCTTTAGCAACGATGAAGTTTTCGATGTCACTGTCAATAATAAGTACATTATTTTAGATGGTAAAGACTCCGGTACGGGTTCGAGTGAAGATGGTGACCGACCTCAACAAAGATTAGATTTGCTAGGTCAACGGACGGAGTCGGAATGGTCAGAGTCACGAGCTGACAGCGGACCTGAATCACCCGAACCTTACGAAAGACCATTACACCCCGCGTATCAACACCTCCCACCACGTGCTCCTCCTGGCAGTACGCCAGCTTCAGCAAAACCTAGAATATGGTCGTTGGCAGACATGGCAAGTAAGGAAGGTGAATCACCTGCGCCACCTTCGTCAGCTTCTGCATTTTATCAATCTGCAGCAGCGCGGCTTGTAAATCCTTACGGACGACCGGAACTATACAGAGGTCTCTATCCTCCAACCCACCCAGCCGATGTAGCACTCCTGGAGTATTCTCGCTCTTTAGCGTTAGCAGCACCAGCATCGGCGCCACCCGCCCCTTCTCCATCCTCATCTTCCACATCATCGCTGGCTGAGCAACCGCCTCCTCCCCGCGCCTGACCGCCAGCCCCCCGCCCACCGTTGACGCACCGACAATAACCGCGATTTCACTCCACGTGTGCCGCGAGGGCCTTCTGACTTGTAAATATCGATTTTAGCTTAATTATAAATATGTATACATACGTATGTACGTGATAATATAAATATTATGCACCGGTAGAGAAGCTTAGACTTGTGATAGCGGACTTATGCAGGCGGCGTTGTGCCCGCCGCAACCGTGAGGTTGACAACTCGCAAACGACGTCGGCGCTGCGCTCGCGCCGACCGACCGACAATACTAGGTGCTAATTCAAGTTGGACCTTGCGACATATTGCTCTAATTAATATTGGAAACAGTTAAACAAAATGAGTTCATTCTAAAATTGATTTTATGAATAATTGTTTTGTTTCCGTTAGTAAACGCATTTTTACAAATTAAAATATTATTTTGTAGCGAGTACATCATTATTTTCAAAATATTCTTCCTAAACTTAGAGCATAATTACGTCCAGTTTTGTCTCTTGTTTGATAGTTTCTTATTATTATCTAACAAAATCCTAATATTTATTGATACGAGGTCAGTGTAGTTAACGTAGTAACTATTAATCGTAAGTTTTTTTAATTTTCAAGATACCAATACAATATTTGTTGAGGTTTTTTGATACATCTGTTTATTTCTAGTCAAAGGACTACGATTGTCTGTGTTAAACATTAAACAGCAAAATTGATTTCGTTTGTTAGAGAAATTATTCCAATACGACTTTCAGTATAAAATAAAATTATATTAGTGAAAGACATATTCTATAACATACATAATGATAACAAACAAACTCATTGTTAAATTACGTGAAGTTTAAGGATAATTATAAAAAATTTTCTGCGCAATCGACTTCTCTTATAATCCAGGTTAAATTTCACAATAATAACCATGTAAGACGAGGTTCCAAGTTATGAAAAATCTAGGTAAATGGGACCAAACAAAAACATGGTTGATATAAAGTTGACGTACGGAAAGAAGGAAATAAGTTATCAATTTAACACTATACATACCATAACAATTACGTTATGTATATTTCTTAGTTTCTTCTAAACGATATACACGTATCGCTTAGAAGATAGTTGGAACTGATATATTTTTATGACGAGTTGTTTAGGTATTGATCTTAATATATACTCATATATTTTTTTTATTCCGCAAACTCATACGTATGTTATTATTCGATAGGTAAGTGGAATAATTCGTTTAACAATTTTTGTGATGGCTACTCTATGTTTTTATCTCTTAGAACTTTCAATTTATACGAAAGGTGAAACTTATTATGTTCTCAATGTTTACCTAAGACATTCTTCGTCTATCTGGAAGAACTTGAAATTAAATAAGTCTAAAATGGCCTTGTATAATTGTAATAACGTTAAAGGATTGTATAGTTATATTCACAACTTGTTTTTATTGTAAAATATTTTTTTCAATATTGTAGAGACTGAAAGTCCAAAATTGAGTCTATAGTTTTGTACATAACATCACCATTGTAAGTAATAATAATGTGAGTATTTAAGAGAAATGCAATAAATTTTCTGTATTAGTAATTCTTCAATGTAAATATAAATACGGATGAAAGACGTAATTTTTTCGCAGTAATCTTGACAACGAAAATGTTGAACATGTAACTTCACAGTTCGCAACTTTAATTTAATGTTGTTAAAGTGATATCAATTGCTTATGTAGTTGTGTGTACCTATTTATAGAATTATTACATACTAAAAATTTATCTGCTGTGATCCACATCAATATTATGATCTTCCTAATTAGTTAGCTTGTTCAGAAAGAGTTCAGCTATCATGCTTTTGAAAAATAACAAAATGGGACAACACTACTTCGTGCAGATACTAAATTTTCATAATGTGTATATTTTAAACCTTGAACTCAATACTATACGTATGACGTCATAATTTACATGGATGCACCGCGGTGATTTTCCTTAATTAGTAATAGCTGTAACAAGTCTGAAAAACTTTTGAAATATCAACCGTAAATGGTAGTTAAATAATAGCCTTGAAAACTTGGTGCACATATGTGTAAATTATGACTTGTGACGCTTAGAAAATGTTACAGATATCTCCTCATAGATGCCATTCAACTAGGTTAGAGCTACCTATGCGAAAATAAGGGCCAACGCAAACCGGCGGACGGGAATTGTAATAAGGTCTATACATAAAATATACATTGATAAATTTTTAAAAAATACAAAGCTCTGAGACATAGAAAGAAGTGCATCGGTCTCAATTGCAATTTATACCTTATTTAAATTAAAATAGAATAAAATACATATTGATAAATTTAATGTCCTCTGCCTTGCCTTCCACCGGTTTGCTCTTACCCTAAAGCGTTTGTTTTTTTGCCGAATAATTTATATTTTTCGTCCAATATATTAAATAGAAAATAATATCGCTCCTTGTAATATGAAACAAAGTATGCATCCCCCTGAAAATAAATTAAGTATACCTAAATATTAGCGCAAACAATTTTTATAATTTCAAACGTCTTTTAACCGTTACCCAGGAAGGTGTGTGAATAGATGCAATAAAATTTAATACAGAAATATTACAAAATGTTTTAATGATCATTTTCCCTACATTGTAAACCCTATGTGTAGCTTTATGGGCGAGGTACGATCTAAATAATATTTTATCATTATTTCGATATAGTATAAGTACTGCGACCGCGCGACTGAGACTACCCGATCGTCTTTGTGCACAACCAAACCTCCTAATTTCATAACTGCTTATTCAGCCAATACAAATTATAATTGACTTAATTTATAAGCTATCGTATGATTAAATTGAAAAATCTATTGTATCTGCTAACGGTTAAATGAAGCCCATTCAATAAGCGTGCAAACAATTATTGACTTATCTCGTCACACCGCTGCCAAACACGTACATTAGTGATGCAGGATTGGATTCGGGAGTTGCCTATTAGTGTGAATTTTCATGACAAGTTAAATGTTAGATTACTCCTGGAATCACACATAAATCAATCAACATTTTAAACTTGCGTTTGCCATCCACCTCATTTCGTCATATGCTTAATTAGACATCAAAGAACGTCAGCGGTTAACTCTTTATTATGAAAAGCACAAATTTTCTTCGCCGTAATTGGGTCCGCGTAACAAAATAAACATAAATCATAACTGTAGCGCTTTGATGTGACCGTGTCCGGAGTGACGTCAGCACAACGCCTTGTGATATGTTGTACATTCATTATTTGCTCACGTACCATAGATGAAAGGTGATCACAATATAAATAAACAAATCGTATGAAGCACGCCTTATGACAACGACGAAAGTACGCATGATAGAATTATTGGAATTCATGAGAATTTCTATACTGTTCTAAAGTGTTGAGTCTGGTGTTGCTATAATTCCAATTCGCTTGAGACAAAATAAGCTTTGCTCAGAACTACACATAACCGTTGATTTGGAAAATAAAACACATGAACACTCTTCGGTAGGTATTCTAATGAAAATTGTGCCTATATTATAGTTCTCATGTAATATGACTAAGTGAAGCAACTTGTGCAGAGAGATAGTACAATCCTACAGGTAGGTAGTGGAATTTTTATGTTACTAGCATTCTCATAAATGTTTTTTAAGATAGCATTTTTTTTATGTTGAGACGAACAAGTCGTACGCCGCCGGTCCATAGTAGTTGCAACGCCACTCACGACTTTAAATCGCAAAGATATGAGAGAAGCTGCATCCGCGCTTACCACTCTCAGACATAAGTTGACAAGTCCCATGTGCCTGTAATTTATGAAATTGTACTGAAAATGTGCTGATGACAGCACCCTTAACTTTAAAACCGAAATGCAGTAATGCTCACATTATTGCTTGGCCACAGAATTAGTTAAGGTGGCGGTACTTTCCTGGAGGAACTCTTTCACAGGTAGCTCTACGGCTATTAAATGTTATATTTGTTATGAGATTAGGTAATATGCATAATACTTAGAAAATTCCAAAAGTCGTTCTTTGTTTTCAAGAATACCCGTTAATGAAAATTTTCTTAGAAACCCTGTTCCTGAACAGTTCATTGTCTTCTTGCTACCAAATGATAAGTTCGAAATGACGAACTGAGACCGAACGATCGTTATTAACTGGTAGGCGAGATGTGATCTAAACTTTTTCAAATCTAAATGCTTTCGTTATATTTTAATATATGTAAATTAGATCAATTAGACAAATAAATCAGCACGCTTATTGAACGCGATAAGGAATAATTAATTACGTATAACACGATTACTATCCGTTTGCCTTATGAGAATTGTTTAATCGAGACACACACATATTTTCATCAACGACATTTTCACTTAATTAATGAGATCGAGTTCGAGAAAATTATCGAATTCTTACGTCTTCGCGATCGCTTGAAAAACGAAATGGAGCTGTTTTTTCGGACCTAAAATTATTCTTTGTTTTTCAATCAAATCAAACAGTTATATCTATCTAATATATATGCAACCACCCTATTCAGAATTATGGGAAAGTTATTATATAAGCAATGCACAAGTGCAAGTGAGAAAGGTAGACTGACTCGTCTCAGGGACGAAGAGTGAGTTGCAATATTGATTTAAGTTATTAAACTGATACCGCAAATATGACGTCTTATAATTAGCAGTATCATGTTTATATATATTTTTTTAAATAACTGCGAGCAAATTGTTCAAGCTTGCTTATGTCTTTATTTTTATTTGAATAAAAATGTACAGTAGTGGTGTTTGCGATTTTTTTTATACATTTTGTGATTTTCATATATAGATCGTTGCACAGCGGATTTTCCGTTGAAAAGCTCCCCGTGTGGGCTACATAACTATGTAGATATTAGTAATGGAATTATTTTGCCGGATCCAATTCGATTATAGATTTTGGTAAAATTGGAGGTACATGGGACCTGTCAACTTACGACTCAGGACGCCTGTAGCGCAGAGGCAGTGCGCCTCAGATATTTGCGATTGCAACTGTTACGGATAGTAAAATTACTTTAAAAAAATAATCCCGAAAACCGAAGCACTCTCAATATTTAGAAATTATTTATTACTTGCTACCCACAGAAGTTTAAACAAATGACATTCTTTTTAATATTGAGCCAATCGTGTGCTCTTGAAGCATTGTTACTATGTTTACAATGATTTTTTCCCAAGCCCTATCAACATTTTTGTACACTGACTCACGTCGAACTATTTAAGCTCTTATTTCAATTACAGAATCTCACGCAGCAATCACGCGTCATTGTCACCTCGAGTCATTCGTTTTGTTATGTCCACAAGTCTATCGCCGTCATTCAGTTTGTATAATAAAGCTATCGAAACGATTCATTTATATTAAAAGCAAATTCTTACGTCGCATAGCACTAAGTGACTTGAAGATTTCATTCAATATCGTGAGAGCGATACACGTATGCTGACCGACAAGAACGAACGAAAAAAGCCTCAAGTTATTTTTACAAAGGCGATCTGAGAGCAACGTGTTGTGTAAATAGTCCGACATGTTTCTGTAACAAAGAAATCTTAATAGCCGATGACGTGCCACAGTCAATATAACAATCTATAGGTGATTGCTCAATTCCGTACGCACAGGTGATGTATGCCTTTATAATATGGTGTATAGCTTTAAAGTTCAATTTTCTTGCGCATAACGTGGCATTACTGAAAATTCGTTTGTATGTTTGCGTTTGTAAGATTTGCATAAAACATGGTTATCTATTGCATACCTGCTTACTAAGCGATGTTCCAATATCCCAGAGGAGTCTTTATTTTATGATATAAAGACAAAGTAATAACAACTTTAACGTTAATGATATACAGACTCATTCTGTTTACTTTTGAAGGAGATCTTTGTGGCAG